GCCTGGGTGGGCACGGGGTGGGAGGGGACTGCGGGCTGGGGCGGAGCCTCGAGGTACCGCCCTGGGGTTCAAGGTGTCACCTTGGGAACCGCTGAGGGTGAGAGGAGTCCAAAAAGCCACATAGAGGTGGCCGGGAAGCTGCAAGGTTGAGAAGGAAAGATTAACTGGGAGGGCTGCCTTCTGTCCTCTAAGGATGTCGAGAAAGAAATGGGCCCAAGAGAAAAATAAACCAGTTTCTGAACATTTCATTTCGTTATATGAGGACCGTCCTGGAGTAGATCCATGGCCTCTGAATTGTTTCTCCTGTGTCAGAAGTGAATGTGCACCGAGCTGTGTCTTCAGAACCCCAGAGCACTGGGGGAAGTTGCTAGCCAAGGACCTCAGATCAGTCCTTTAAAAAAAAGTTCTCCCTCCCGCGGCCTCTGCTCCTTTTCTGCTGGAGTAGGGCGTTCGCTCGCTGCCACCAGTAAACTCAGCACCATCCTTAACGGGACTGTGGCCTGATTTCCAAGTAGAATAGAGCTTGGAACCCAGTGGTCATGCTCCATACAGGGACAGGAGTAAAAATAATACCCAGCATTTATTGAAGATCTGTATGCCAGGAGTTGTGCCATGCATTTCAGATTTTCCTTTTTGTTTTAAATGAAAATGAAGTGTCCTTGCCTATAACTTGTCATTGAAGCTACACGGTAACCCTGTGGAGTAGGCATTATTATCCCCACTTTACAACGCAAGGAAACTGAGGCATAGGAAGGCTAAGCAACTTGCTTGTAGTCTGTCTGCAGAACACTTGCTTTTAACCCCTGTTCTTTCCTCCTGCTGCCTGGCAGTGAGGTGTGAGGATTTCTTTGTGCAAATGGTAAGTATTTCCACATAAGTGGATGTTTTCTGCTGAGACTGAGGTAGAAGGGTTTCTTGCAGGGATAACTGGCACTCAGAGGGCATTTGTTCAGAAGAGTGAAATTTAAAATTAGCTGGGACAAGAAAGGTGCCTATATGACATGGAGTCTCTTGAGTCTATAGAACAGGTTCCCAAATTTTCTCAGTAATTTTTTCATGATGCCGTTAGCCCAGAAATATTTCCCAGTTCATTTGTTACGTAGTTAAATCCAAACAACTGTAAAACCAAAAGTATCTGATATAGGTCTCAATAAATTTAGAAAGTTTATTTTGCCAAGGTTAAGGATGCATCCGTAGCAGAACCTCAGGAGGTCCTGAGGACATGTGCCCAAGGTAGTCGGGGCACAGCTTGGTTTTATACATTTTAGGGAGACATGAGACATCAATCAAATGTGTAAGATATACATTGGTTCTCCTGGAAAAGTGAGACAACTCGAAGTGGGGGCTTTCAGGTCATAGGTGGATGGGAGACAAAAGGTTGCCTTCTTTTGGGTCTTTGATTAGCCTTTCACTGAATGTACAATTTACATGTGCAGGAGGGATAGAGGAATAATCACTTTTGTCTTAGACTGGCTCAGTGAGTCTGCATTTTCACATAAACAATAGGGCAGAGGCAGCAATCAGATAAGCATTTGTCTCAGGTGAGCAGAAGGATGATTTTAGTGTTCTGTCTTTTGTTTGGCACTTGTGAAGATGAGCTATCAATTTATTAATACATTGCCAGGGTGAAATTCAACAGAACTGTTTTAGGGTAAAGATCTTAAGGCCCATGTGGGCAAATCGTGAGGGTGGTATGTAGCTTCTTTTTCTTTGTAGCTATCTTATTTAGGAATAAAATGGGAGGCAGGTTTGTCTGAGGCAGTTCCCAGCTTGACTTTAACCTTTGACTTAGTGATTTTGGGTTCTGAGATTTATTTTCCTTTGACACAACCTAATAAGTAGTTATGTCCTAACAACTTAGTAGCTATTTGAGAAGATAGCATATAATTGAAAGAAAAAATAATATCTTTATTTTATTCTTAAACAGCCATAACTACTAATGGGAAATGTATCCCTGTTGGTCATTACACCAGTGTCTGAAACCTTGGAATCAGATTGGACACTGCCACCCTCATTTCCTGTTCTAGGTAGATTTTTAGCATTGTTCTTGTTTTTTATTACAGCAACTGCTAACAGCTGCTTAAAAGTCAGCTCCACAAAGAAATAATGTCATTGAAAGGAATATAGCACAATGTAATGTTCAAGCTGTGAACCACCTGGAGCTAGTAGTTTTTGAGGTATTGAGCAAGTATCACTGTGTTTCCCTCGAAAATTTAAAATATTCCACAACACCCTGAGAGTTTGCTAAACGCTGTAGGCCACAGTTTAGGAGCTGTTGCAGAACTAGAGAGTTGGTTTTTTGTTTACTGCTAGTATTTAATTATTGTGTAACACAGGTTAAGAAATAATACTCATCAGTGAGATTTTGGAAGCATCAAAAGTGGGTCTTTCTGTTCCTCTTTAAAATATAGTTGTTCCTCTTTAAAATATAGTTGGGACTGGGTGTACTTCTTTGGCACTTGAGGCAGAACTAATTAAAAAGTGAGGACACAAAGAGATAACTAAGTTGTCCTTGCTTCTAAGTATTTCAGTTCCTGCCTGGCTTTGAAGTTAAGTAACTATAATTAGAAGGAAAAAAAAATGGAAATTTAGATTTCCCACAGGTTGGTATTCTTGGTATTTATTTCATTTATCTCCTAGAATTTAAAAAATAGTAAATGATAAAATTCTAAAATGACACAAGCCCAGCAAAGAATGCTGACTAACAAATGATTAATTCAGGAAACTCTTCCAAAGGATTTGTGAAAAAGAATACTCCTTTCTTTCCCCCATGAGTGAACTCTTGCCTTCTTTTTGAAGTTGACTATTGGAAAACCCAAAGTTGCTCAGAGAGGGCAGAATGAGAAATAGTTAATCCTCTGACAGGTGGGCTTTGATAACAGTTGTGAAATGTAACACATTTTTCTTTTCACTTATAGTTGGCAGAAGGGCCAGTGAAATTTGAAAGTTGACCTCAAATTAATCATGGGTCATCACAGTGTCTTTACGCTTGGAACATGTTGTGCATTTTTTTGTCCATCAAAAGAAACATAGAACAACCGAGAAAAGGCTAGAGAAGACGATCTTACATGATTTAAGGAATAAAAAGACATCCCTATGAGAACAGTCTGAATTTTAGGACTTTAATTTGGAAAGATACAAAAGCATATGTTCAAAGTATAAAATGTTGATGATACAGATCTCCTAAATTAGAGTCCCCTTTACGCTGGATATTTTTACATTACCTATTTAATTTTTTTCTTAATCTTTGATTATTCATTATGAATCTCGATTTATTCATGATGTTCTCTCCAGTGTTGTTTGCATTTCTGACCTTTTCTATTGCTTGTTTCAGTTTTAAGAAAATGACTTGAAGTTGTTCCACCCCCATGGTGCCATTTCCCCTGAGAGAACTACAGAATAAAGCAACCATAAGTTTCCTTTGGTGTTGATAACTAGTAGCTCTGGGAATAAACTATGCTTATCTGTTTTCTACTGCATATGGTCTGTCTAGCTTTCATTGCCTCTCTAGCTCTTTCGAAAATCCCAATTAGAAAACCATGCCAGCTTACTAATTAAGAAAATAGGCCTTGGTGCCAAAGACTTAATCTTCAGATCTGATCTTATTTTGCTACTTAGGAGCTCTGATACTGGCTAAGTCACCTAGCCTGTGAGCTTCATTTGCTTATAGAGTTGTTGGAATTAGATGTGGTGACATGTGACAAGCACAAAGCCAGGCTCCTATCAAGCTTGTGCATCTGGGTTTTTTTTTTCTATTTTTCTCTCAATTATTGGAAGCTCATAGAAGCTGTTAGTAGAATTTTAGTAGTTTGCAAGTATTTTTAAACATTTTATCATAGGTACACATTATAATTTTGATACGATCTCAGTATTAACCTGATAACTCCCAAATTGATATTTTCCTAGTTCAACTGAAATTAAAGGGAGAAATATGGGATTATAGGAGCACCTTGACCTCAAATGGACTGTATTTGTTTTGAGAAAGATCTTGGTACTGATCATGTAGTCAACTTTCTAGTGCAATGTTAAAGTTTATATATTTGTAAATGTTATAAAAGCATAAAACCAGAAACTAAGTCTTACAGTTAATTTCTACATCTTTTATTGGAAGATGACTGTGGATAAATGTCTTTCTGTATATCATTTTAATAAATGAGAAAAAAGAGCTGTTGAATGAAAGATCATGAATATCAGTATTTATCTGAGGAACATCCTGCAGAGGAATCCCTTTTCCCATTAATTAAAACACAAAATTGCCAGTGTTTCAAGTAGTTATCTGATTGATAGATCAACAACAAATTAAATGCTTTTAGTCTCAAGTTCCCATTTTTATTAAAATGTAATTATCATGAACAGAAAAAGCAATACAAGGCATGTGTTCTTAATTCTGCCATTCTCTTTTTGACATTTAAAGGAAGAGCCTAGGCTGGATGTCTTGATCAATAATGCAGGGATCTTCCAGTGCCCTTACATGAAGACTGAAGATGGGTTTGAGATGCAGTTTGGAGTGAACCATCTGGGGCACTTTCTACTCACCAATCTTCTCCTTGGACTCCTCAAAAGTTCAGCTCCCAGCAGGATTGTGGTAGTTTCTTCCAAACTTTATAAATATGGAGACATCAACTTTGATGACTTGAACAGTGAACAAAGCTATAATAAAAGCTTTTGTTATAGCCGGAGCAAACTGGCTAACATTCTTTTTACCAGGGAACTAGCCCGCCGCTTAGAAGGCACAAATGTCACCGTCAATGTGTTGCATCCTGGTATTGTACGGACAAATCTGGGGAGGCACATACACATTCCACTGTTGGTCAGACCACTCTTCAATTTGGTGTCATGGGCTTTTTTCAAAACTCCAGTAGAAGGTGCCCAGACTTCCATTTATTTGGCCTCTTCACCTGAAGTAGAAGGAGTGTCAGGAAGATACTTTGGGGATTGTAAAGAGGAAGAATTATTGCCCAAAGCTTTGGATGAATCTGTTGCAAGAAAACTCTGGGATATCAGTGAAGTGATGGTTGGCCTGCTAAAATAGGAACAAGGAGTAAAAGAGCTGTTTATAAAACTGCATATCAGTTATATCTGTGATCAGGAATGGTGTGGCTTGAGAACTTGTTACTTGAAGAAAAAGAATTTTGATGTTGCAGTAGCACTGCTAAGAGGTACATGTGGATATTTTGGAGTTACTGAAAAATTATTTTTGGGATAAGAGAATTTCAGCAAAGATGTTTTAAATATATATAGTAAGTATAATGAATAATAAGCACAATGAAAAATACAATTATATTGTAAAATTATAACTGGGCAAGAATGGATGACATATTAATATTTGTCAGGATTAAGTGACTTAAAGTGCTATCAAGAGGTTTTTCAAGTATTTTTGAGTTTCATGGCCAAAGTGTTAACTATTTTTACTATGATGTTTGGTGTTTGTGTGGAAATAATCTGCCTGGTATGTGCACACAAGTCTTACTTGGAATAAATTTACTGATACAAATTCTTAGCTGTGTATTTCTTTGGAGGCTTCACTGAATACAGTCCTTTATCATATCACCATTAGCCTCTGCTGATCTTGGTCTGCCCAGTCTCTTCTTGCCACATATCTTGTATACTGCTCTGAGAGATAATATTTCTAAAACCCAAATCTATCACATTCCTGCTTAAAAAACAGTGGGTTTTGAGCCTTAAAAAAAAAAAATCTGCAGAATTCTTTCTTCAAAAGAAGTGTTTAACTGAAATGTAGAAGCTGGAGGGGTAAAGCAGGTTATTGCAGTGCTGCCAAGGTGGAGTCCCCAAAGGCTCTTCCTAAAGGGATTTCTTAGAATATAGTGGTTTATAAACCACTTTTATTTCAACTGAAGATTAAACTGTTGAAGATAGAGTTGAGGTTCCATGAGACGGCACCATGCTTACCCGATACTCTCACACTCAGCACTGTGCAGTAGAACTTTGCAGTGAGGGGAGGAATACTCTGCATTGTCTGATGTGGTGGACTCTAGAAACATGGGGTTATTAAGTACTTCAAATTCAACTGAGAACTGAATTTCTAATTATATGTAATGTTAATTTAAATAGGCATATGTCTAACAACTGGTATCTTGGACAGTACATCTCTGTTCATCCCATCAGCTAACCCAGTCCTGATTTTAGAACAGTCACCTAGTCACTTGCTTTGGGCCTTTCTTTATAGTGTTCTTTCAGTCTGGAATACCCTCTCCTTTCTCCTTGGAAATACAGCTTAGCCTTTAGGTCCCTTTCAAATGTGTTCCTTTCTCCAACCCTTGTAGGCAGAGACAATTCTCTCTTTTTTCCCCCCTTGATCTTGGTACTTTTACTAGGAGTTTAGGAGTTCATTCACAGGTTCAGTTAGATAATCAGAATAGAAATTCTCTAAGGAAAAGAGATTTATTATTAGCTTTTCTCCCTCAAGAATCAAGTATAGTACCACCACATAGTAAAAAATCAGTAAATAATGGCATGCATAAGAATAATTGAGCCCAAATAGTAATATTGTAGGCATCTGTGTTACAACATCAAAAGTATCTACTTAATTTCATTTATTTGTTTCACTATCTCATATTGGAAAAAGGAATTATAACACTAAAGTATAGACAGTTACACTGAATTTAATGACTAGTCCAGGGATAATTCTTGATTGGTTATTATTTTTAAGACCATTTATAATATCAGCTTATGAGTATCAGTTATTTTCAAGAATGGCAGGATCTTGGCATATCATGCAGAAGGTCTGTTTTCTGTTAGAGCATTGCCTTGTGAATTGGAGAAACAGCGTATCATCACAGGTGTGTCTCTGCAGGTGTAGTGGATATAGCTGCATCATGTTCTTTGAAACATTGTATTTTTAAAAAGTAATCCTACAAAGAGACCTGCTGAACTTAGAAATATGGGCAGGAAATATACCAGAATGCAACTTGGAAAAATGGAAGCTAATAAATCTGTCCTACACCTCGACTTCATTAAAAGGAAGCCCCTTTTTTTCATTTAATACCATCTTTGTCTGGCTGCATTTTGATACTTGATGCTTTTCAGGGGATTTGGACCTTTTGTAAGAGTTGAACCTTTCAGAGTTCTTGTTTGTGGCACCATAATAAAAAAATATATTTACTTACTATGACGGAAAACTAGAAACTTATCTGGAAACACCAACTATTAAGGTAAAATGAGCTGCCATTTGGAAGATGTCCTTCCCATCACTGTTTGATGGAATTGAGGACTAAGAGCTCCAAAATGATGAGTTAGATTCTGAAGAAGTCCTTAACTTCCCCTCCTTCATTCTCCCTTTTGCTGACTCACTTTAAACCATTTTACTGGGCAAAGAAATAAGTAAAAGGCAGTCCTGTTATTTTGATACTTGTTCTCATCCTCAGCAATGTATTAGAGAGGAGACTGTATTGTGCCAGATAATGGAAGAATTGAGTTGAAAGCCCATTTTCCATGCTGGTTCTCGGCTTCATTTTTTTTTTTTTTTTTTTTTTTTTTTTTGGAAAATTGACTCCTGTTTCAAGCAGCTTATTCTGAGAAGGGTTAAGGTTGCTGGCCTTCTGTTTCAACTTTCGCTCAGAGTAACTATTTTATATAGTGGGGTTCTCAGTAGCATTTAATTGGACAAGGGGTTTCACAGCGTAAACACACCACCACATTGGGTTTGACTAACAACTCTACTGTGTAATGCTTCCTGTAACCTTGGCAAGTTACTTAACCTTAATGAGCTTTTTTTTTTTTTTTTTTGCTCTATATTGAAATATAAGTGTCTGCTTTAAAGGATTGCTCAGTAAATGAAAGCATCAGAGTAGGTAAAGCATTTAGCAAAGTGCCTGGCACATATGGGCACACATCCATTTCTCCTTCCACAATGCACATAATCATTACTATCTATTAGCAGTAATAGTAATTAGCGATGCTAATGATTAAGCAAGTACATATGATGGAAACAAAACTCTAAACCAAGGCTCAGCAGACTTCATCTAAAAGGCCAGATTTCCTTTTCTAATCTTTTAAAAATGCAAAAACTGTTTGTAGCCAGCACATACCATAGTATTGTACTGAAATGACTGGTACAGTCTTCCAGCCCCAATGTACTCACCTACTTGTTTACCTTTAAAACACCTTGTTTGGGAGTAGTCGTCGTATATGCTGTGATTCCTATTACTCTATAAGGCTGCTGTTGATTTTCTATATTATTTCTAATTGTGGACAACTATTTGCTTGCAGACCAGGAAGCCTAGAGAGTATATTTTAAAGGTCTGTCTCCAGCTATAGATTCTGGTGTGAGGAAGAGCAGTTATCTGCCTTCAACTCCCTCCCCTGACAAACTTGCTGGGCCTGGCCATAGATCTGAGGGACTCTGTATTTGAATATTTAATTGATTCCAAATGTCCTGTGGAACACTAAAGAGAGAACATGTTACTAATCACCCTTCAGGAGCTTGGCCCCCACAGACAGCTTCAGATGTTCCACAAACCTTCTCTGGGCAATGGGGAGTTAAATTAGTTACAGGTTAACATGGAGAAAGGTAGTTTACTCCTAGAGGAAACTAAGACGGAATGCTTAGTTTTATGCAGACAGTAAGGAAGAGCTTTTGCTAAGCCAGATGTGTAATCAAAGTGCAGTGGAAGCACTTTTAAGCAACTGCCATCTAAGAGATTTGCAATAATAACTGATTCTCTATTATCTTTTTCTAAAAAAAAAAAAATGCGAATGCAAATAGCATGTGAAACTCCAGGCTGATAGACTTTCTTCTAGCACATGACAGCCCTTCTGCTTCCTCTTGTTCTATTATATACTTAAGAGTAAGTTGTGTACCATTTGTTATTCACTTAGCAAATATTTATTGAGTACCTATTATGTAACCAGGCATTATTCTAGTTCCACGCGTGCAGAAGGCAACAAAGAAAACCCAACCCAATTTGTGCATGCATGTGTCAGCTGTGCTGGTTAATAATCACATTACAAATTATTAATCATACTGCAAGTCAATGAAATGTGAGTACAAAGGGAATTTATATGAAAAGTAGAAAAGTAGTTTTGTGAAAAGTAAATGAAAGCAAGTCATTAAAAATTTACTGTTGACTAAAGTTTCCAAACAACTATCAAATACTAAAAATAAATACAAAAATATAAAAGGAGTCTGTAGTTAGTGCTTTGCAAGTAACTTTAAACTGTGAGTCCATTTTAAGGACAAAAAAGCTAGAAATCCGATATTACTATTTAAGTGAGTACAGGATTACCTCAGAGATACTTCTGATTTTGTTCCAGATCACCACAATAAAGCAATTATTACAATAAAGTGAGTTATACAAGCTTTTTTGTTTCTCCGTGCTTGTAAAAGTTATATTTATACTATACTGTTGTCTGTTAGGTGTATAAGAGCCTTATGTCTAAAAACAATGTACATACCTTAATTTAAAAATACTTGTTTTTGCTAAAAAACCTCTAACAATTATCTGAGCCTTCAGTGAGTCACTCTCTCTCTTCTGGTGGAGGGTCTCACCCCGATGGCTGCTGACTTCAGGGTGGTGGTTGCTGAAGGCTGGGTTGGCTGGAACAATGTCTGAAAATACGACAACAATGCAAGTTGCCAAACTGATAAACTCTTCCTTCCACGAAATATGTATCTGTAGCATGTGGTGGTATTTACCCGCAGTAGGACTTCTTTCAAAATTGAAGTCAATCCTATCAAACCCTGTTGCTGCATTATCAACTACGTTTATGTAATATTCCAAATCCTTTGCTGTCATTTCAGAAATGTTCACAGCCTCTTCACCAGGAGTAGATTCCATCTCCAGAAACCACTTTCTTTGCTCATCCCTAAGAAACAATTCCTCCTCTCTTCAAGTTTTATCATGAGGTTGCAGCAGTTCACTCACCCTTTAGGCTCCACTTCCAATTCTCTTGTGATGTTTTACCTCATCTGTGTTTACTTCCTCCAAAGAAAGTTTGAACCCTCAGAGTCATCCATGAGGAAGGGCTGGACTCAGATTTTTTCTAACTTCTGTTGATATTTTGACCTACTCATATGAATTATGAATGTTCTTAATGGCATCTAGAACGGTTAATACTTTCCCAGAAGATTTTTCAATTCATTTTGCCCAGATCCATCAGAGGAATAACTGTGGCAGCTTTAGCCTTAGGAAATGTTGTTTTTCTTAAATAATAAGACTTTAAAGTCAAAATTACTCCTTGATCCATGGGCTGCAGACTAGATGTATCAGCAGACATGAAAACATTAATCATTTTATACATCTTCATCAGAGTTCTTGGGTGGCTATGTGCATTGTCAGTAAGCAGTAATATTTTGAAAGGCATCTTTTCTAAGCAGTAGGTCTTAACAGTGGACTTAAAATTTCAGTAAACCATGCTGTAAACAGATGTGCTGTCATCCAGACCTTGTTGTTCCCCTTATAGCACATAGGCAGAGTAGATTAAAGATAACTCTGACAGGCCTTAGAATTTTTAGTATGGTAAATGTGCATTGACTTCAAC